GAGCTCATAATAGAGCTCTCTATTATGAGCTCTTGATACCATATAATGGTGGGGTAAGTGGTAGTCCAGTAAGTACCACATTTAACTAGGAGCGGAAAGGTCTGGGGTCCAAGTCTCACTGTGGCCACTGCTGTTGTGCCCTTGAGCAAGGCACATTATCCCCATGTGCTTCAGACTACACCTGCTGTAGAAATTGGTTTATCTTGCTGGCATGAGGCCAACAACCTCACCCGCATAACAAAGTGTAGCTTTGCTGGGGAAAAGTCTGTAATGAAACCAAAGCAACGCAGCTGCTGAGGGCCCATGCTCCACGATCGTAGATAAAGAAACAAAAAGAGAAGCCCGTGAAAAGGTGCGCACGTTCTCACCCGTCCTCCGTGTGTGTGTTTGTCTTCGTGAGCAGACGTCGTCACGCGCTGGTCTCCGGTCAGCTGCGAGCGTGTGGCGGCAAGCGGTGGCATTCGCGTGCTCTACACGCTCATCCGACGATGCAACCGCAGCATCCCCAACATGGAGCTGATCCACTACTCCGTCAGCATCCTGTTCAACCTTGCAAAGGTAAATAATCGCCAGCAGTTGGGTTTTTTGGTTTCAGCCGGCCGATACCGTCAGTTATTAATGGTTAATCGTTATGGTTAGGGTTATTAATGGTTAATCGTTATGGTTAGGGTTAATAGTTATTAACGGTTAATCGTTATGGTTAGGGTTAATGGTTAATCGCGTCGATTTCACAGATCAATTACGGCTGAGAATGAATGAATGAATTTTCATTACTTGCTACGCTAGTGTATTATTCTATGATTCTCACTTGACACTCTGAGACTGATCACTTGTCCTTACCAGATTCCAATTAATTAGTGAGAGACATCCTTGACGATGTGCGTTGTTGTTTGCAGTATGGCAAGACGCTGTGCGCCGTGGCTATGCTAGTGTATTATTCTATGATTCTTACTCCACACTCTGAGGCTGATCACTTGTCTCTAGATCTACCAGATTCCAATTAATTAGTGAGGAACATCCTTGACGATGTGCGTTGTTGTTTGCAGTATGACAAGACGCTGTGCGCTGTGGCGGATGAGCCGACGTGCATGGACACACTCGTAGATCTTATGATGATCTACAGAGAGAAGGGACTAAAGATCTTCATGCAGACGTGTAATCTGCTGGCCATACTCTGCCTCAACGCAGGCAAAGCCGAGGTAATCGTGTAGAGAAAGTCGTGGCTTTCTTACTGATTGTGGGAAACCACCAGTGCTCTCTATATCTCCTTCTCTTTCTTTCTCTCTCTTGTTCTCTTTCTTTCTCTGTCTCTTTCTCTCTTTCTCTTTCTCTCTCTCTCGCTTTCTCTTTCTTTCTCTCTCTCTCTCTTTCTCTTTCTTTCTCTCTCGCCCTCTCTTTGACTGATATCAAGTACCAAATGCTAGAATCTACCTTAGATTTGCTATGGATACAGCGTAGGTTTTGCTATAACTGAGATACTTAGCCTCTCTAATCAAGTATCACTACCTGAAGCTTTCGTAATGTGATTTTCAGGATATCTAATAAAATAACAGCACGCTAAGCTTTCTTAACACAGATTCTCAGCCTATTTAATCAGGTATCAGCATCCTAAGCTTCCCTTACAGAGATTCATAGACTCTCGAATCAAGTATTACCATGACTCACCATGTATTAACATAACATGACTTAATTAAACAAAACTTACGAGCCTAAACCTAATCTAACGAGTCGTCACCACGTTTCCAAACAGGAGGTGAGGCAGAATGCGAAGCTGAGCGGTCGAATCGTGAGCATCCACACGCTCACGCAGCGCAAGTACAAGCTTGAGGAGCAGCGGCAGGCAGCGAAGGTTCGTCGGCTCGCTAGCCAGAGTTTCACGGGAAACGCCAGCATGATGTCAGTCTCCCACGTCGGCCACCAGAGGGTGCACGTGCAGCCGGCATGGTCGCTGCGGCAGTGTCAGTTGTCGAATAACACCAACCCGCTGCAGGTGATCAAACTCCTAACCGAAGTCTGCGGGCTCATGCCTAAAGAGGGCGCCACTCAGAGGGGTGCATCTGCGGTCAATAGGACGGTGCTCTAGGCTCGCGCGTGAGCACGTGTCGTGCACGCATGTTGATGTCATGAGGAGCAAGGAGTTAAATATAACAAGGAGAGGAAGTGGATTGGCTGTGCGCTTTTCGCCTCAAGTGCGCCATCTATGGACCATAATCAGCTGAAACGGCTGTGCAGACCGTTTTCGCCTCAAGGGCGCCATCTATGGACCATAATCAGCTGAAACGGCTGTGCAGCCCGAACCCAGAGACAATAGAACACTAATCTGTTCTAGGGTCTCTGCCAAACCCAAATTTGGCCAGATATGGCGGCGCTTCCTCTCCTTGTTATATTTAGCTCCTTGATCAGGAGTCAGGATAAGACAGATGTTTGTCATGTTAATCTCAATTTACCGTGTACTTCTGACAAAATCGACATTCATAAATTGTTATAATGCTATGGCTTCAACGGCGTACGTGTTTATTCACTGTCAATCCTCTACATTAGAAACGTAGGAGATTGATTGTGTATAAGCAAGTAAGCATGTGTGTGGTGTAATATAACGTTCGTTTTCTTGTATAAATATAATCTTTATTGGTTTCCTAGAAGTTTGCTCCTATATATTCTGTTAGGTAGGATTAGAACCGTGTTTTATTGTGCCGGAGCCGAGTTATATCAAGAGCGCTCCTGGTTATATTTGAACGTATAGTTTAGTATGTCGTTAAATTTACTAGCTAAGACGTCAACATTCTCATATAAGCAACTCTCCTATGTCTGCGTATTTTATGCATGCTTCATCAAACATGTAAAGCCATTGAATGTGTACTCTGCCGGTAGTCTGTAGTTTTGATATTTCGTGATGCACTTCTGAGTGTAAACATACTGGGTAAATTTCGCAGTATCACCAAGATGCCTTAAACTAAATTCGTCCAGTATTAATTTGCTCTATAATATTCGGTGTAGGCTCAACACTATTAAATGGTCATAATGAATCCACAATAGATCATACACGCATATAGTGCATCACATGGACAAAACGGACTAAATTATCATCTGATTACAGGTTACACAGGAAGTTACAGTTCGAAATTATTACCCAATGATACATTTTACAATGTACTGCTACGTACCTGTTATTAGGCGTTGATTTAATCTGTTGTTGTTTGTGGCTGTCCATCTGTAACGCGCCATTGCTATGTAAAGTGCGATTTTAATCTATTATGGGTTTTTCATAGTAAAACACACCTAATCAACCTAATCAGCAGGAAGAGAAATGCTGTTTCTATCAGATAAAGATTTCTCATTTCGTGAATGCTCCTCTAAGCTGTACTTTAATTGTGGTGTTATTGATTATTGTGTATACCAATGGTTTCTTGTGATTGCGTGTAGTTTTCTTGTACTTTGTATGTTTATTCGGTTATTCCTCATTTGGCATACTCTGTGACAAATAAACCATTGCTATATAGACAAATTACTGGAATTGAACTAGAAATTCACTTTTATTCTTCATGACTACCGCAAAAACAGCAATACGTAAATGTGCTTAGCAATAATGGACAGGCGACTAGATGAGAGCACTCACTAATTCACGAAACCATTGCTTACGTAGCTGTCCGCGCTACAGTCTCTCATACGTTCATGCATTTGCTATACCTTGTGTATAATAAAATCCACCTTTAACGTTATCACAAGAACTAGGTGACCAACTGCAGACTACTAAGATATCGCATTTCATGGCACTTTGACCATAAAATCCGCCATTTCCTAAGAACAATATGAACGGGTGAGATCATCCCGCACCAGACGTTTGCATGACCTTGTCGTCACACATCATAGATGACTGCCATAAGCCGTTCCAATGCTAGTTTGCCTTGCGTTTGAAGTAGCGGTCGTAGCAGTGTTCAGCGAGCAACTCACTGCCCACATGCAGCTTCACGGCCTGCTGCGTGTTGTAGTACCAGTCTCCAATCTTCGTGTTCGTGAGAACATCCTGGAATGCCTCGCAGCCCTCGATGGAGTTCAGAATTCCGTACACAGCCTGAAGGCAACGAGGACAACATTGTTAGTGGGGACGCAACATGTGTGGTATTGTTAACTTTTGGTCTGTCTCAAACGACTATCAAAATTCATTCTTACGTAAATATACGAGTATATACACGTGTACGAGTATATTAATTAATTGGAGTTTGCGTGTGTGCGTGTAATATATGATAATGTATAGCCGGATGACAGGGTGAAAGTAATATAAATGGGCTGTAGCATACCAGATCTGCTAGGTTTGGCTTATCGCCACCCATGAATGTTCGCTGTTTGCCCACGTGTTTTGTCCAGTGTCTACAGGCATCATACAGCGTCTCTCTCACATCTTCCTTCATATTGTACCTGTCACAAAAACAGTGCAGTGAGGTAAGCAACCGTCATACCACAAACCTATTCTATGACATAGCATCCGGCAGGGGTAATTAGTGAGCATAGCATCCGGCAGGGGACTCCGGTAACAACCATCAGAAAAGTTTTCAATTACTTTTTCTTTAATCTTTTTCCAACTAGAAACATGGCTGCTGCACCAACGTAGATCACCAGGTAGCGCTCCCAGGCAGGAAACAGTCGCTCCCACTCTCCGACGTCGGAGAAGTAGCGGAAAGCCTGCAGCGCCTCGCCGGATGTTCGGTAGACGTTTGGCGACAAGTAGTGTACGAGAGTATTGTCTGCCCACTCACGCCACTTCTTCTCCTCTCTGTATTGCCAAACGTTGCACATTATACACAATTAATACATGTAAAAGATTATCTCTGCGTTGACTATCTGGTCACCTGGAAGCTGCAGAATGAAGAAACACGAGTCTGAAAATCGATTGAACATGGTTTGATTGCTTCCCTTTAAAGGCTCACAATGCGCATCCAAATGCTAATTTCTCCAGTACTAGACTAGCAAATACTTCGTGGCATGCATAATCACACTACCTTATGACAAAATAAACTCTAGTTCCCCCCATTTCACTGCGCGTTGTCTTATAAAAGGTATTTGAAAATAGCTCCAATGTTGTTGACACGTTTGCGTTGCTCTGCCAGGCAACCGTCCAGCGGGTGTAGCAAAGATTCTACGGCCCGTGTGCGTTTTTCGCTTGCACGCTGCTTAGCGCAATGTTCGCCGCTGTTAGCGATGATCAAGCCTAAAATCAATACGTATTTTCACGTTTATTACGCTGCCATTATTACTTTCTCAATAGTCTTTGATGTTACATACACTGCAGTTCACAATACTACAACTATCTTAAAATGTAAACGACTACATATAATAAGACCCCCGGGACAAACAATTCCTGCTCAACACCCTGTAGCAACATGTGAGAGCTAAGTTGTTTCAAACAATTTAGCGTTTGCGCCAGAATGCCAGTTTTCTCACCTCTTTCTTGTGGGTTTTAAGCAAATGCGCAGTGGAATGGTGCGAACTAGAGTTTATTTTGTCATAAGGTAGTGTGATTATGCATGACACGACAGTATTGCTAGTTTAGTACTGGAGAAATTAGCGTCTTGGATGCGCATTGTGAGCTTTAACATTACAATATCACTACCAGAACATGTACACTCATGACTTTCATTCAAACTTGTGTTTCTACTCGAGCACATTGGTTTGCTAGAGAAGTGTGTGTATGTATCGATTCAACAGGTGCAGATCCACCACAATACCAAGCGTAGATTTAACGTGCATGCTATTTGTTGTCACCAGGAATAAGAAACAGATCTATATTATGGATCTATTATGTTTCATTATTTTTTATCTTTTCTTGTTATCTTTATATTATTATATATAAGTTATATAATTATAAGCCTTATAAGACCTTGTTTGTCATTATTAACCCCTGGTATTAATGTATTATTATTGCTACTACTATTACTTTTAGTGATTTATTGTAGATTCTGTTAAAAAAATCTCTTATCTTACTCCAGCAATGGATCTATAAAGTTTGTGTGCAACGTTAATGGTGCTCTTACTGTCTCGTGTCCTTGTGTCTGTGAGATTCTCCGTACATCACAGCGTATCGGTTCAGCTGCCTCAGTGCACTCGGTGCCGCGATCATTGACGTACGTCGCCGTCGGATAGTAGCCAAGCATCTCGTCAAAGCTGAGCTCGGCGTCCGCTAACAGCGAGGAACGTCTTCATGATGCTGATGATGAGTGGCAGAGTCTCGGAAATGCTGCACGCACGAAAACGTGTTTGTATATATACGAGTCTGCTCTACGATGTTTTGGTCCTGCCATTTCTTGGGGATGATGCATGCAATTACAGTGATAGGATGTAGTTAGAAAGTCTTCCTATTTTTGTTAACTGGCTCCACGTACCACTCTCTCTCTCTCTCCGTCTATCTGTCTCTCTCTCTTCTCTCTCTGGCTTTCTTTTCTCTCTCTCTCTCTCTCTCTCTCTCATGTTCTTTTCTTACCTCCATCCTTCCCTCCCCCAAGTGCTTAATTGATTATTCAGTGTTCCTTCTCTACCTGTTCCTTATTCCATTAGACTCGCAGACCAATATCGGGACTTTGCGGTAGCTGGACCACTTTATCTCCTTTCGCAGGACTGGGTTGACCTCTACCACATGCGTAGCAAAATCCGTGATAGTCAAAGAAAGGCCCGCCACCTTGCAGCAAATGGACATGTCTGGTACTGATAAAGCGTCAGTTCAGGCCAGAATTGCCACTGTGCTGAGAATCTAAAATGAAATAAATTTTTTTTTAAGTTCTTCCACCCCCTTCCTACTTAACCTTCTCGGATCTCCATCTCCTTCACCGTCGCATTAAAGTCTCACCGTTTTGCCTCCTCAATTAGCCTACATTATAATTTATATCATAGATGTGTGAGTATGTCTGCACGTGAATGTGCATGCGGCGGACCGTTGTGTGTGTATCGTTGTGAGGGTGTGTGCATGTGCGCAGGGGCGTGTACAGGGGGGGGGGGGGTCCAGGGGTCCGGACCCCCCCTGCTCGCGCAGAAAACGCATCTGAGGGGGTCTAATTTCAAAATTTTGAGACCCCCAGACCCCCCCCTTCGCGCTGCTCCCAAGCTTGCGGTTACGCGCTGGACCCCCCCCCCCGGTACAAATCCTGATGATAAAGAATATTCATCAAACGATTCAAAGTCTAAGGGGCTGTGCCACAATATCTATATACACATATTTCTGGGTACCTGTCGGGATGGCGTTATAGCAGGACGCGTGGACACTTCTTCTGGCTTCAGCTGTGCGCGCGTACCATTCCATGTGAATGATGGTGCGATCATGATTTGGACAACTGCTCCTACTCCGGCTCCTGCAACCACACTCCCAAGTAGAAGCCATTTCAACTTTGATTTCTTCTTCGTGGCACTGATTGTACTCAATAGAGCGCGTTGACTGTAGCTTACTGGCGCTCTTATACTGTAAGATATAATCGATCTAGAGTTATGTAATTCTGGGGTTCTAGGAAAACGAGAGAACCATTTTAACCTAGTAGTAGTAGTACAGAACATCAACTTCTGCATGGGCGCTGACATTTTGAAACAATTGAGCGTTTATATAGGTGGCGCAAATGCTTCGCCAATGATGAAACCGGTGATAGTGTGTTACTGTTAGTAACACGTTGTGTATTTTTTACACGTTGTGTATAAACTTTATAATAAAGTGCAGGCTGTTAGGATTTTAATTGTCAGCATTTAAAATAACAGGTAAAGTTCTTGCGCTCTCAGACTGGGGAATCTGTTGGTGATGGCTGACGAAGGCGTTATAAATGGACCATCCGTTGGTGGAGGTGATGACCAACCTGCTTCCCAGATACCTGCTAAAAAAGCAAAAACGCCTGCACAATTAAAAAAAGAGCAAGAAAAGAAAGAAAAGCTTGAAAAGTTTAAAGCTAAGCAAGCACAAAAAGAAGCGAAGAAGCCGGTTGATGAGGTATGTAGTTAAAATAAATTGAATATATAAACTAAGATTGAACACTTGCATTTTGTTATATCCGAGCATGTTTTTTTCACGGAACATTATTCCAGATAAGAAATTCTTTAGGCCGTGGCTACGCGACCGGTTCCGGACGAGGAGCCACTAGCTAGACTACGCGTTCAGACATCCATCTCACACAGTGATCTTGCGACACATACACGCATGATTGCGCAACAGGACGCTCTGCTGATTGCTGAGTGTGTGTGTGTGCGTGCGTGCGTGCGTGCGTGCGTGCGTGCGTGAGAGAGAGAGAGAGAGAGAGAGAGGTGTGGTGTGTGTGTGTGTGTGTGTGTGTGTGTGTGTGTGTGTGTCAGAGAGAGAGATAGAGCTAGAAGCGAGTGTCTTTGTGATCTTCGTGTGTGTGTGTGGCGTGCTCGCTTGCGTGCCCTGTGCCGTTTGCTGTGCGGCGCAGTGCGTCGCAGTGCCGCAGGTGGCGTGCACGTCGAGCATGTGTGCGTAAGTCAACTAACCTTAGATGCTCATGAACGCGTAAGTTTGCCTGAATCAATAGAAACCTGGCTTTCATGTGAGAAGCAGATGAATGCGAAGAGATGAGAGAACGGTGGAGCCTCGGAGAGATGGATGATATGACTGCAGAAGAAAATCTATAAAGAAGATGCGAGAGGGAGAACAGAGACGGCGCTGATAAGGCCGCTCGCTCTTAACAACGACGCGTTCTCGGCCTATTTAATTCAGGTATCAACTGTCGTGCTGTGTATCGATTGAGAGATGAGAGACGCTATCCCAGGACTTCTGCGACGTTGCTCATCAGTCTTCAATGATATGTGTTTCTGCTGTAGATGAGAGAGAGAGAGAGAGAGCCAGTGTGTTTGTGCTGATAAACAACCGTAATTAAACAAAACGTCACGCCTAACCTATCCCAACGGCGCTCAACACGTTTCCAAACGGAGGTGAGGATGCGAGACGAGCCGTCGAATCGGAGCAATCCACACGCTCACGTGTGGGCGACTGTGTCGTGTTGTGTGAGAGAGAGCAGAGGCTGTGCGTGTGTGTTTAGTACAGCTTCTGAGGACGAGCGGCACGGCGGCCACGCCAGGTTCGTGAGGCGCGCAGCAAGGGTGGTTGTGTTCGTGACAAGAGAGCAGGGAAGCAAACAGATCGACGGGGCGAGTCTCCTGTATCGTGTCCAGACAGAGACGACAAGAGAGGAAGACCCGGAGAGACTGAGAACCAGAGGCGGAGTGGTGTCTGCTGTCAGAGAGGAGAGAGAGAGGCTGTGTGTGTGTGCGCCAGAGGTGCGCCACTGGCGTCGCTAAGGGCCAGCGTGAAACACCCAACGGACCCAGGGAGCTAAAAAAGATCGTGCGCCGCGGACAGAACGCGCCATTTACACAGTGATGTGTGTGTGTGAGAGAGAAAGAGAACATGAGAGAAAAAGAAAAAAAGAAGATGTTATGTGTCTGCAGAGAGAGAGGTAGTGCAGTTGATGGCTGTGCGAGAAAAAAAAACCAAAATAAAAAAAAAAAAAAAAAAGAACGTGCAAAAAAAAGATATGCTCGATTGAGAGAGAAAGGTTTGTGATGTCCTGCGTTTGTATACCTACCGCGCAAGCGGAGCTGCACGGGCCGGGCCACAGGTGGCACTGCAATCCGCTCGCAAGTGATATGTGGTGGTTCCGTGTGTGTTGTGTAAAGCCACTACGTTTGTCGCTGGGGGCGATCGATTCAGGGTCAGGCAGCATCGCCTTCGTGATGTGGAGTTGGTGTAGCACCCTCAGTGTTCGCGGCCGATCGAGGGGTTCAGCAGCGAGTCGCCTGCCGGGTAGGGTCACCAGGGCTCAGAAATCAGCAGCAGCAGACAGCGATTCCAGGCTGTTATACACAATTACATGCGTTACGATGCTCAGGCCGAGGTAGTGCACTTTCTCGGTGGAGTGCCCTCTGTCTAAGTGTTGTGTGATTGTTGACGGAGAGAAGAGAGAGAACGAGAGAGAGATGGAGAAGAAGAGAGAACCATAGAGGGAGTGTGTATGTTGTCAGCAGAGAGAGAGAGCGAGACGACGAGCGTGTGCGCTTTGCCTCAAGGTGACGGGGGCGAGCCGTGAGTATGCTCGTCAGAGAGAGAGAGAGTATTCAGAGACGATGGTGATGCGCTGCTCTGTGTGTCAGTGAAGACATGAGAGTTACCCGCGCGACGACGCGGATAGGACACTAATGTGTAGTGCTCTCCGAACCAAATGGCCAATATTTGGCCCAGCGCTTCCTTTTCTCCTCAGTATTGAGAAACTGCCGTGTGATTGTGCTGTAGTGTGTGTGTAGGTATGTGTAGTGTGTGATGACATGGTGATTTGCTGTTTGTTCAGTTCATTCTTCCTTTACAGTGTACTGCCTGAACAACCCAATCGACGATTCATAAAGGTCATAATGTATGCGCATCACGGCGTTACGTGTTTGAAGTCGGTGTGTCAATGCCCTCATAAGCATGAGGAAACGGAGACGATTTTGAGGGGGATAAGAGTAATGTGAATTGTTTGTGGTAGTTGTGTGGTTGGTGTGTGGGAGGAGGAGATGATAGAGAACTGTACAGCCAAAAAGCGCGAATGTATTGTTTCATAGAGAGAAGATGAGATGACTTAGGATGTGTGACCTGTGTATCGTGTGGTGATGTGCTGCACAGGAGAGATGAGAGGCGGTAGATACCAGATGAGGGTTACGGTCGTTATACATGTGTCACGCTAGACCAGAGAGAGAGTTGAGAGAAGAGGTTGTGCTGCTAAATAGAGGCTGGAGAAGTGACGTGTCGGGGCGCGATAACTGCGTGTTGTGTGTGTTAGTGAAGTTAGGAGACGGAGAGAGGGAGAGAGAGGTGCGTGCGCGTGTGTGTAGAGAGGTGAAGAGATTAGAGAGAGGAGAGACGAGATGTGAACCACGAGGATTGGGAGTTGTGCGAGTGTGCAGGAGAGGAGAGAGAGAGAGGTGTGTGCGCAGATGTGTGTGGCGTGTGCCGTCGGTGCGTGTGCCGTGTGCAGTGTGCGTAGTGAGTGTGGTAGTGCTGTGTGCGTGGCGTTCGGTAGTGACGAGAGAGAGAGAGCGGCAGAAACCAAAGAGGAGTGTTTGACGGGGCAAATCCAACGTTGGCACAGCTGAGCAAATAAGCCGATTGGGCAACTTCGCCAATATGACGTTGGGCCAAGCTGTTGGCCCGCCCAGAGCAAAAAATCTGTTGAGGGCCAACGTCGCAAAATTGACCGTGTGGCCAACGTTGGCTTCGAGCAAAAATCCGTCTGGGGCACCAGACGTTGAGCAAAATTGGACCTCTGGGCAACGTCGGCGCAAAATGGACGTCTCGCTGGGCCAACGTTGGCAAGGGGTATGAATCGTTGGGCCAAACGATTGCCATCCGAGCAAGAAAATCAGTTGGCTAACGTTGGCCATAATGGCTGAAGGACAGGCCGTTGGCCAACGTTGCCCCAAACAAGTCAGCATGTATCTTGGGGTGTAGTAAACCATCATAATGATGTATTCAACAGTAAGGCCTTGCTAATGCAAAAGGGGAAAAGCAGAAAGAAGAAAGGCAACGTGAATAACAGTGAATGATGGTTTACAAAAGCACCAGCTGCCGGGAAGCAAAAAAAAGGTCGCGAGAGGGCCATTGAATTGTTGGCTCAATTGCATGTACGCCATATCAGAAATTTCAGTTAGATACGATACACATTCCGTCACTTGCATAGTCTGCATGGACTATTCTGCGGCAATCTCAAAATTTTTTATTCCATAAAGTTCTTAATCTGAATTTCTGCCTTTAGATACGAACAATGCTCGCGATGCCAGCAGTGCAATGATTCTCCTGAGATGATAATGTATGAAAAGCGTGGTTGGCGATGGATGGCGTGGGAGAAACTAAATCGGCGGTGATTCAGCGCCAGAGTAAACAATGCCTCGCTGTAGATAGTAAAAGATCTCATAGCAGCTAAACATCCGTATAGTTAAATAATATATGTCGGGGCGAAGATATCATGTGAGAGGAAACCCACTATGCAGCTGATGCGTGGCATAAATGTAATCCGTACTTCAGTGTCTGCTGTGGATCGGGGAGAACATAAATTATACAGATTTGTAAAATCTAAATGATATACAGAATGGTTCTATAACTCTAAGAAATGAACGTCCCTTTAATAGTATCTACACCTAGCCTTGTGAGCTGAGAAGCCATATTTTCCAATGATTAGCAGGGAATATAAATATATAGTCGATGCAGTATACTGACTGATGCGCTATCCATTGAAGTATCATATGAGCCTAATTAGAAACATTTCAGAATGGGAAATTGACAAATATCCTAACCCAAAAGGCCGAAATTACATGATCTGCGTGATTCCCACAATCGCAAACAGCTGACTGGAACCCATGCATCTGGCTCACGCCAGCTCACTAATGGCATTGAGGATACACTTAGTACGGATGGGATATAAAACAGTTGCATGAAA